CTTTCTTTGTGCACAGTCTTTTCTTTTCTTTTTTGAACTGAACTGGAAGTTTGGAACTGGACTGCAGCTCTGTGTCTTCTTTTCTTTTCTTTTTTTTTTTTTTTTTTTTTTTATGAACCGAACTGGAAGTTTGGAATTGGATTGCAGCTCTGTGTCTTCTTTTCTCTCTTTTTTTTATGAACTGAACTGGAAGTTTGGAATTGGACTGCAGCTCTGTGTTTTTTTTTTTTAAATTGAAATGTTAATATTGCTTTGAAATTGAAATCTGGTTTTGCTAATTGACATGAAATCTAATCTGGTTTTTTTTGCTAATTGAAATATGGTTTATTTTGTTACAACACCAATAATTGACATGAATTTATTTTGTTATCTTGAATTTGAATGTAGTTTGTATTTTAAAAGATGCCTAGTATTTTGTTGTCTATGTTTGTTTTAGTTTTATCTCATAATTCTCATTAGTTGACTTTTGCATCTTTATATTAATATGTTTAATTATTTACTGTTGAACTCAAGTACTTGATTTAGTTGGCTTTGGTATCATTATGTTAAATATTGAACTTAAGTAATTGATTTAGTTGATTTTTGCATCTTTATATATAGAATTTTTTTTTTTTTTTCAATGTGCGCCTTGCTTCAGTCGGGCGCGCGCCTCGCCTTGCGCCTCAGGCTCCAGGAGGCCTTTGCGCTTTTGTGCGCCTTGAGCCTTTAACAACTATGATATCCAAGGACCGACACTGATCCTCCTAGATCCCATCAGCCTCCCCTTTCTCGCCCTCCTCAATCACCTCCACACAGGTCTCCCATTCAGCACCACTATCCACCCCGCTATCATGAACCTCAGAAAAGGATGTTGAATCACACGAAGGCACATCAGTCAGGCGCCTATGTTTCTGTAGTTCCTTCACCAACAAAGAGGCTGATTCCTTATTGAGAACAATACGGATATCCTTTCCCATGCAAACACTCATCAAGTCTGGCTTACAAACTGACTGAGATGGCACCAATTCATCCCCCTTAGGAAGGCACAAATCCAGCTGAGGCTTGACCATCCCTCCCATGTCAAACCCAGACATAACCATCTGATGAGAAGAAGAGGAAAAATCCGAACAAGAATTCTCCAGCCCTTCGCTGACATGATCCGTAACCCCCTCCACAAACAAACCGACCGTCCCATCCCTTTCTAACGGTCCAAAAAACCCACACCCCTAATCAGCCGTATCCACAGTCTCATTGCCCACCTCAACCACTGGTGAGAGCCTCAGTGACATACCAACAAAACCATTCCCCACCTCCTTCCTCCTCAACCCACAAGAAGGAGAAGAAAGAGAAGAATGAGAAAAGGAGGAGTTACGAGAACAAGAAGGGGGGGACTTACCCGGTTCAGGAGTGTTGTGGGCGACCCATTTTTGCTTGTCTTTTCTGGTCCATCTTCTACCAGACTTATTAGACCAACTCGACACATCCTCCTTGAGGGAGTCACAGCTGTGAGTCTCGTCCTCACAAAGGGAGCTTGACTGGAGCAACCCAAAACTGCTACCAGATAGCAGATTCTGATAACACGCACCATGCCTGAACGTCTTCGATCTCAGACCAGATCCCTTCATCGTATTCGTACTTATAGAGACCCAATTCTCCTTCGGTTGTTTCGGAGCAACTGATTTGTGAGAATAGCCTCTAGAAGCCGTTTTAGAAGGTGGCTTGGGCTGTAGCCCATTAATGGAAATGGAGAGGCTTCTATTTGGGGGCCAGGTAACTTCTCTAGAACTAGAATGATTGGGCTTGGTAAGAGAAGACCAAGAAGAAGAGAGAGGCTTAAGAATGGGCCTGACCTGTCCAGCCTTGTTCATGGCCCGCAAACCTTCAATTCCAGATCCAAAAGAAAATGAACACCCAATCGAATTGGGCCCAAAATGCCCAGCCTTGCCATCATCCTTCAAAGCAACCTTCCTAGGCCCACGTTGGTTAGGCCCTTTTCAAGTAAGCCCATTAGAAGAGGAATTCAAATTCCCGACCGCCTCACGTGCCAAGGCATGTGTGCCCTTAGCTGGATTCCACTCACAACGGGGGGGAACCGTCCTCCAACCACGTGTCCCACTAACCAGGCATTCCTTCCCACTCGTCCCTGGCGCGTGGAAATGCACTCGTCCCTGTCCCTGCTTTCGGCAACTTTGTAGAGCCTTTCTATGAATCACCGGTTCACGCCTACTACCAAAAACTGGTCTGTGAGACGAACGAGTCCCCCTATCCGTCACCTCCAAAGGATTGAAAACCTCAGATTTAGCACGAAACTTGGAGATCGGCTCAAGAGAAGGGGCGATTTCCTCTGTGAGAGAGATTCGAAAAGCTCGCTGACTGTCCTCCACAATAATAGACTCCGGGATCGCACCACCTTCATCCATAGTGATGACGATCCTCTCCGTATCGCTCATCTCGAATGCCTCGACGTCCCGGAATCCACCACACAGGTCCCCTACAACAATGAAAAGTTTCTGACACCTAAGGCGGAGAGGAAGACCAAACACAATGAGTCTCCGGCATTTAAATTTCTTTCTCAACCCAGAACACCCAACCTTGTAATACCAGTAGTCAATGAATAACTGAGTCACCCCATGTCTTCTTTCCGTAATCAAGAACCTTCACAGCCTCCATAACCGATGGGAAGCGAAACAGTAAAAGCCCATCAGGCAAAGTAGAAACCCTAACACCAGCCGAGATTGACCAAACCCTCGTATTTTGAATAACATGAAAACATGAGAATAGAGAATATCCTATCTTGAATATGAAAATCATGAAAGAAAGTTCTTTTTTCTTTTTCCCTATTCTTTTCCTCAGTTATTGTCAGTGTTTTGTTGGCGGTCTGTTTAAATATGTAGTAATAACGGTGATCCTATTTAAATGCCCCTTAAATGTGTTTCTTCATTGTTAAGGAAACTTTATGATATATAAGCTCATGCATTCCTAGCAAAGAGACAAATTAGCAAGCATACGATGAATTGTGGAATATTACTCTTACTAAATATGTATGGGTCATTACAAGAAGAGATTTCTCTAACTAGCAGCTTAAAAAAATTGTCTGTCAAGATGCGTCATCATTGGGTGATCAAAGATGATGCCACTATCAGGATTTTTGGGCTGTTTGAGAAAACTGAAGCAGTTCATGTCAGATCTCACCTCATTTTTTCATTGGAAAACCGAAAACCAATACTATTTGTTTCGGGAAGATACTCTTTTTATTTTTTATTTTTTTTATTTTTGGTTACAAACTTAAAACCACAATTGGCTGGCTTAAATTAGTTAGGCTTCTTGTCATCTGATCTGATTCTTGGGTTTACAGTCCTTTATGTTCATTCTATGCTTGACTATTTTATTTGATACATAAACCGTGTGTGTATGTTCACCTTTTGCGACATGAAGATACATTAAGTTCAAGGTTGCTCCCTTTTGATTTCGTTGTTGTTTTTGTTATGTAGGCTTTGAATATGACAATATTCATGACATTGAAATTTTTTAAAAATTATTTGGGTGAGGGGATACTAAACAAAATCGCTCTTAAGTGACCATAAAATTGAGAAAATATGAATAGTTGCCAAATTTAAAAGTTAAATGCAAGTAAGTGACCATTAAAGGATAACTTCGTCAAAATACTTTCTTCTTTCTTTGAAAATAATTAAAGAATTTAGAATGTCAAAATAGTGCAACCAGTTGGCTGTGGTGACCTAAACTACCCGACCACTTGAGAGTGGCAGCACCAGACCCAATCCGTTGGCCACCCGGGTGGGGCATGATGAGAGTGACGGTGGAGCTAGCAATCCAGCCCCTCTGAGATTGCTCTGGCATTGTTATCGTGAGGACGATGGCCAAGTCCACCTTCACAATATTTTTGTAACTTTCCATTGTTATAGATTTGTCCACCTTTCATTGATCTCTTCTCCATATTATGTCCTCTCTTGAGCTGAGTGAAACCCTAGACATTATTTGTCCAGTTAGTTCTAGCTTTACCATTCTGAGATATAACTGCAATTTGCCAATGAGAAGATAATGAGTGTATATTAATGTAGTCATGTGTGTGTGTATATTTATGTATAGATGGATGTTTGTGACATCCTACATCGCCTGGGGGAGAAGTTCTATATTTGTGGACACCCCCTTAACTGTGTAGATGCATTTTGAGGAAAACCGTGAGCACCGAGAGGAGAGTGTGCAAAGCGGACAATATGTACACGGTCAGGGCGGGTCCATGACACTTGTATGTGTGGACACCCCCTAACTGTGTAGACTCATTTGGAGAAAAATCGTGAGCACTGAGAGGAGAGTGTGCAACGCGGACAATATCTACACGGTGTGGGCGGGTCGTGACAATATATATTGACTTAAAAAAAAAGTAGTATCTAATAATTGTAAACCAAAGCTGCCATTGATAATAAGTTGTCATTGATTACGGCTACCATGCTGCGAAGCTATGCGAGTACACCTTGGTTGCCACTTGAAAGATGCAACTAAGAGATGCAACATTCATGATTTTATGTTAGCTTAACACAAGTGATATAAAATAGTAGTTGAATGACTCAGTGGGGGTAGCCAGGTGGTTAACATTAATTAAAATGGTACGCATTCAAGCAGTGGAAGTAACATATATAACGATGTAATATAGTTCAAGTAAATAAGGATTGCGGTTCTATCTTGAATGGGGGTCCAATTTGGTGGTCAGTCCATTGTGATGTGCTCTACCATGGTGAGGTAAAAAGAGTGCCAAGTTGGCGGGTGCATATGTGGGTATTGTCGTTGCAGGCACTGAACATAGATCTTGAGGTAACAGAATCAAACTCTATGTTGTTTCTGCAGACGAGGTTAGGCTTAACTTCATGAATTTTTAGGGGTTGTTTCTTCCAATTGTTGTATGAATTCATTTTAAAGATTTATTTATTTATTTTTCCTGTGAATAAATTTAATTTAAAGTTGCAAAATGTCTGGACTTTTGTATTTGCTTCTTTATTGAACAGGTTGAGATATGTTGAACAAGAATTGGCAAAGAAAAGAGGAAGGAAAATTGATGAAGCAGATCAAGCTGGGAAAGATATGACACATGCTGAGGACGAATTATACAAAATTCCAGAGCATCTTAAAGTGAGTTAATTGATTTCTTCTTATCTTTGCAGTTCTTCATTTGTAGAGTGGTTAGAGCTTTATTGTTCTGTCCCCATCTTCTCGTAATAATTCTTTTTGGCTCTTAGTCCTGCACTCCTGTTATAGATGTTAAGGATGAGATGAACATAATTCTTTTATATAGTGTGTCACCAGGAATTTTGTTGAGATTTACATCAACAAACTCCATGGTGGCCTTTGCAGATTATTCAGAACTGTTAACAGTTAAATTAAAATAAGAAAAAATTATGACACTATATTTTACATAGTTTGCCAAAATCTGGCTATGCCCATTGGGCATTATGTTATCCAATCCAATCTGATCTTCTTCAAGAAAAACTGAGTTTTGTACGTGAAGAATAACTGGTCATGTTTAGCATCAAAACCAAGTCTGAGGTTTTCGTACACTAGCCTCAAATTGCTCTTTTATACAGATCCCAAAGAGTCTCTCAAAACTGGAATAATCCCTATAACCGCCATTTTAAGTGGTTCCTGAGTTCCATCCGCATAAGATGGTCCATGACCTTTTAACTAAAACCTGATTGAACAGCTTAGATAAAAGATACCATAACGAACATTACCAAATCCAGCGATTGATTATTTTGTATACCACATTGCCATCAATCAAACCTGTTTTAACTTGACTGAGCCTCATTCCAACCACTAGAGGTTGATACACTCATTCTTTTTAGTTATTCTTATCAAAGGTTCCTCCTCCCCCTTTTATATTCCAGTCTCACATTTTCTTAGGATTTCCTTTTTTCTTGTATCACACTCTTAAGATATTAGACTCTGTTGGTCCAGACTCATTTCACAATGTCCTTACAGCCGATGTAAATAAATACCTTTTTTTTTTTTTTTCCCTCTGATTATTAAGCCATAAATTATACTTGCTAATATTCAAATCTTTGGAAGCATATTTGAAATGTGATCCATAAGCAAATGTCCTGGTTTATTGTAACTGGGAATCGATTTCTCTTCAAAATGAACCAACATTGTTACTGCTCCATTAAAGATGTAAACAATATTAATTTGTTTTCTCATAGCTCTCGACACTCTTTAGGAACATATTATATGCTTTTCTTTTTCCAGAAAGGGAAAAAAATGGGTCAAATAAGAACACTGAAATTCTGTCTTTATAATTTAACATTGATTGCTCACTTGCTCAGGTAAGAACACAACTCCGTTAGTCAGCGAAATAAATAGGAGATAGCGTGAAACATTCTGGTTATATTTATATATTTTGCACCTGTTTTTTAGCAAATGCAAATGGATCTGGTGTTGACTTTGCTTGAGTTTGGCTTTGAATCTAATACTAAATTTATTTCATAAAAACTCAAACGATGAGTTGACTTAATTTTTCCTTATTTAATTTGACTAGGTCAAGTGTTCATAATTGATTATAATGTCATCTTGTATATGAAATTGATCCCTTAATTTCAAATGTAGTTATGCACCTTCCATGCAAGGAGCGACACACCTACAAAATTTTCATGCCATCTATTCATTCTAATTACTCCTGATATGACATTCACTAGTTCATTCACCCACTGCTTTCAACTCCCTCTCTCTCTCTCTCTCTCCAAATTATAAAATTTTCTATTCTCCAACATTAGCACCTTGTTCCTCATTTTTTCCCATAATGCGTGTAATTGCCTTTATATTTTTGAACTTGCACATGTTGTGTCCAGGTGAAGAGGCGAAACTCAGAAGAAAGCTCTACTCAGTGGACTACTGGGATTGCGGAAGTTCAGCTCCCCATTGAGTATGGCCTATCCTATCTTTTGTAGCAAAATAATGATTGAATTTTCACTCAGTAGTGAATTTCAAGGTCACCTTCTTTTGTCCCGAGTAGTGAATTTCTAGGTCACCTTCTTTTGTCCTAAGGTGTAATTTTGTTTCAAGTAAAAGGGATTTGTTAGCCACAAGGCTGTTCATCATTGGCTATTATTTGACACTGCTGCCATGAGGGCATGGCCTGGCCTTACATTTGGTCTTTATTAGTTATCAGATATGAAGAGAGAAAAATAAAATAGTTCTCATTTTAATTAATCATCACTGGTGGTCTGCTTTGCCACATTCTTTAGTGTGTAGTGTTTGTTTCATGGTTTGCAGATACAAGCTGAGAAATATTGAGGAAACAGAGGCTGCCAAAAAACTCCTACAGGAAAAGAGGCTCATGGGTCGGTCCAAAACAGAATCTAGCATTCCCTCGAGTTACAGTGCAGATTATTTCCAACGCGGCAGGGACTACGCTGAAAAACTTAGGAGAGGTTGCTTACTATTGCTTCTTCTTCAACCCCCACCCCCCCACCCCCCCCAACACAACACACACACACACACACACACATTTTGTGAGATAAATTGCAGCTTACTCTTTTCAGTTCACCTCCCTTTCCCCACTTAAATGGGATTTTAAAGCTTGAATCACTTGGGCTTGGGCTTAGCTTGTTTAACTTGTTACCCTTAAGTTTAGCTCCCTTCCTGATAAAATGAGCAAGAGCTGCCCGAGTTACTTAAATTGATCTGGATGACATGCATCTTATAAGTTATTTGGATCTTTGGTTGAACCTACTTTTATTGGACTACTCCCAAGACGATACTGACACGACGATACACAAATCTCAAAGTCATAGGATATGGGTACAACATAGATACGTCAAAATATAAAATCTTGCATAAAATCACTAATTTGGAGCTTATAACTAAATGTTTGTTATTTTTGTTTTCTTACACATTGTATTATTTTTCTAATTAACCCATAATATATTTTAAATTGTATTGAATCCCATTCTTCTAAAAATATAATTACAAAACCACACCGCCAAAACCACCTCACTGTTTTGTAAAAGTTTCCAAAACGTATCATTATTGTGTTCATGCCGCGAGTATTCAATTGTCAGGATACTTCTAGCCGTATCCGACATTGTCCGGGCTGTATTGTGTGTCCTACAAGTGTCCGATACCCTCATGGCACCCTAAGAGAGGTATCCATGCTTCCTAGCTTCTACCACGTTATTATTCATCTTTTTCTGTTACTACTGCTAGAACTACTAAAGGTGCTACTGCTAGTACTACTAATTGGGCTATTGCTGTTGCATGATGCATGTGGGACGGGGGATTGCATATTTTCAGTGGTGAATTATGGGGTGCTGTGAGAGGCTAGACACCATCACCTTTCGGGAAAAAAAAAAAATCTCTCTTTTTCTTTTATGTAAAATTTTCTCATCCTGCACTAAAAAAAATGAAATCCTTGCAGAACATCCCGAGCTGTACAAGGACAGAGGTGCAGAGGACAATGGTTTGGAGTCTAGACCAGGTGATTCTAGTACTGAAGCAGCAGGACAGAGGCAAGCTGCAACGGATGAGTTCATGCTTGAGCGTTTCCGCAGACGAGAATGCCATCGTGTAATTCGGAGATGAAATGCACTCGAGTGCTTGATTTATCTTCAATCTCAATAAAATGTGAAATACAGTCCTCTAGTGATTCAACTATTTTACTCTAGCTTCTGTTGTAATATCTGATCTTTGCGTTGCCAAATTGATTTTGTTGTGATTCCATTTTCCTTGTTTCATGTTATTACTCTTATTATTATTGGTACCTTCATTTTCTTACTTCCTCTTCAATGGGAAGGAGATGCAACATTTTTTGAAATTTTTTCTGAGAGTTTGATGAGTTTGCTTATCCATCTTTTCGCACTCGCATGAAATTTCATGAACAATATTAGCTTTTGAACTACCTTAAATTTAATGAACAATATAACGTCTGGAATTTTAAATGAAGGCTGCGGTTGACTGATGTGCCTTCTGAAATGCATTTCTAAAGAAGTAGGATTGAAGGTAGCCAGATCTTTTAATTCGCTCGAGAAAGTAGAATTACGTTAGAAGAACTATGAAGTCTTTTTCGAGGATAAGAATGCACCTATGGAGTCTTTTTAGAGTATAAAATACTCTTTTGTTTATAATATACACTACCCCGTAAAGATATAATGTCATCTTACCAATGTGTAAAATTATTGCGCACAACACATTAACATATTTCTTTTCTCTTCTCTTTCTCATTCCATTAATGAATCAACTCTGCATTAAATAGGTTTATAAAAATTGTCCAGACATGACATTGGTTGGTTGTTATATAATATTAAGTAGGTTTGTAAAAATTATGTAGGATCCAGATATGATACTGATTGGTTGTTATATAAAACAATCGTTGGAGCTAAAAATAAATAATTCAAATTTTGTGTAAATTTATTACGAGGAAGTGAGAAAATAAAAAGCCGGGAGAGAGAATTTATATTAATGATCCATTCACGTGGAACTAAGACAAGAATGATGATGATGTGACTGTTGATATATTTAGTCTTCTCCTTGGGCATTAGGCATTGTCAATTACGGATTTGGCCATCAAATCTCGAAAGGATAGAAAATGCTAGTTTGGACTTTCAACTCATATGTACACTTTCTGAATTTTCACTAGAGCCCATTTGGTGTTGCTGTTATAATAATAATAAGAAAAAAAATTTGTTAGTAAAACCGTCAAAAACAAGTGTTTGGTCATTTAGTGATCATTATAATAAGTATTTTTTACAATTAAATTATTTTTAATTAGTTTGATAATAATATATTTTAAAACACTTCTATTGCTAATTTTATAAGAATATATTTTAATAGAATGTTGCCATATTTGATAATAGCAACTTTATAAAGGAATGAATGTAATTGTCTTAATAAAAAATAAAAATAGGGACAAAATTGTCTAAAGAAAAAAAGTGGCCTAAAATATCTAACGCAGAAAGGAATTGTGACCTTAATATAGAAAGTTTCTAGGACAAGAAAGGAATTGTGATCTTAATGCGTAGGTACGAATTAGATAGGTTTTTAGTAATTCAGTTTTAAAAGTTACAAATTTTGGTTTCATTCAAAAAGTACAGTTTAAAATAAAAATGCTTTTTAACCAGTTGAAAAATAATCCCAGACGCACTCTTAAAAGATTTTTCGAAAGGGATAAGTTTGGTCTTTTAGACAACCACTTTTGTTTTATGTTTTATGTTTTTTTTTTCTTTTTCCAAATTTCAAAAGATAAATGCTACCAAATGTGCTTTGTTTGTTTTTTTTTTCACCCATTTAGCAACAAAAATCCAAAAACCAGTTGCGAAGGAGACTCGTAGTGGCCAAACATATCACAAACATAAAATAGACTTGGTCGCCGAATGTGCCTTCACTTTTTTTATTTTTATTTTTTTTATTTTTTCAAGTGACTTCACTTTTCATTTTTCAATAATTTAGTTATCTAGCACTCTTACTTTTTAGGCCTAATTTGGTATGAATGAATAAAATGGAATAAAAATGGAAATGGAATAGAATGTTCATCATCATCTTATTATTTGGTTGCAAATCTGAAATGATAATCACCGTTCTACGACCAACGAGTGCCCAGCGGAACCAAACCCCTACTTCTCAAAGGGGTTCAGGGTTCAAGCCTCAGTGTAGGTATGGGTGTGTGAGTACCTGATAAGTGCTGAATGGTGCACATCTAAGACCTTAAAGTTGCATATGTTAGTACCTTAGTAATGCTCAAGTATTGATACTTATGTTAATTACTTGTTTTCGGTTATTTTTAGGTGCTCATTGTCAAAACAGGTCAATTATACCTATTTTAAGCCTTTAATGGTGTTTCTAACGACCGGGAGGAGCATTAGTGTGTTCGGGGACAATTCCGAGCTTAGGAGGATGAAAAAGATGAAATCCACGAAACTAAGATCGTTCTTAGCTCCTCTAGGATCGATCCTAATCACTCCAACAAATTTAATACATATGTCACAAGCTTTGTCAACGATCAATAATTCTCTACCAAGGTTACGATTGATCATAGCCAAGGTACGAACGATCGCAACGGAACCTAGGATCAATCGCAGCTCTCCTAAGATCGATCCTAGGTGCATCAGTTAGATATCCTGATAGTTGTGGGATTTGCATGTTTTAATCTCTTCTTACCATATATGGGCCGGACTTCATCAAAATCTTATGGATTATATTTGGGGCCTATTTTGGAGTTAATTTAGGATAAGATAGTTTAGAAAGATTGGCAGCTAAGGGATTCTCTCCATTGTTGCTAAGTTTTGAAGGTTGAAGAAGGTGACTCCGGTCAAAAATTGCAGTCCATGGAGATGCGTTCATCACATCATTGAAGATTTCTACCTTTTCTATGAGTAGCTAAATTCATTATTAGGGAATTGATCTAACCCTAGCCAAGTAACATGGTTTAATTATGTTTATTTTTGGGGATATTTTCTGGATTATGTATATTGATTGCATGGTTAAGGGTAATTGACTTAGTTGTACTAAGAAATTGGGATTTAATGTTTATAATCAGTTTTAATGAAATCTCTATCTTATTTTAGAATTGATTTTGCTTCTACCGAATTCAAACTTCTCTTATTTTCTATGAATATAGGAGTAGTGATCATGTAATGGTACTTAATGAATATATAAATGAGTGGTTTGATGATCCATGCTTAAGGAAGACAGGTTGTACTACACTATAGATTAGAAGAGTTAGGTAGACAATTCGTGCCAACCGAAGATGGGCTATACTTAGTGTTTGTTCATATACATCTTTCTAATTAAATTATAGTGAGCTTGTACCCACTTGGTTCCTGAATATACAAAAATTTGAATTTCTTCAGAAATTAATATAATTGACCATGTTATGAAGCTAGTGGTGAAGTCAATCCCTAAGTTTCTTTTCTCTTAATATCTATTCTCTTATAACTTAGTTTAATTTTAGTTTTTACATTCATTGCACTTAAAAATAGAAAAATAACAAACCAAATTCTTCTCTTGAATCAAATTGGAACCAATTTCATACTTAACAATTCCAATATAGTCTTTAAGGTTTGACACCCTCTAAATATCCATATCATACAAGAATTCGTTCTATTGTAAGTGGTCTTTTATAATTGACACACATCAATTTTTGGCGTTGTTGTCGGGGATTGTGTAACGATTTCAATTGTTAAGTTAGAGATTAGTTCTAATTTTATTCTTAGGTTAGGACTCTCTTTATTCTCATCTTGATTTATTTTTCTTGTCAAGTGCAGGTATTTCGGTACAAGGAGCACATGGAATAGGTGACAAAGTTGCAGTTCGGGACCCTTTGTGAGTTTTAGTACTTTAAATTTTCATGCTTGAAAATTTTCTTTTCTTTTGTTTTTTTTTATTTTTTATTTTGTTTTGTTTTTCTTTTTCTTTTCATTTTTTTTTTTTTTTTTTTTTTTTTTTTTTTAATTGGTGGAATTTTAGCATATGTTAGGTCATCATTCATTGTCATTCTTGTTAAATCCACATGACCAGGAAATTGAAAAGATTCTTAGACAACTTAGGACAACTAAAAAGGACTCTAATTTTCTAAGAGAATAAACTGAGAACATGGTTGATGATAACACTAATGCACTAGGAGGGGTTTCATCGCTTGCACTAGCTCCTATGGCTTTGAGGGACCATTACATTTTATCTACATATACATCTCCCTCATGCCTTCGATTTTCGGATGTTGCTGCAACCCATTTTAAGATCAAACTTAGTATGATCCAAATGATTCCTTCTTATTATGGGCTTGCTAATAAAGATCCTTATAAGCATCTTGATGACTTCATCAAAATATGTTCAACTACCAAATTGAACACTCTTTGCGATGATTCTTTTAATATGTGTCTCTTCCAGTTCTCTCTAAAAGACAAAGCCAAATATTGATTAAATTTCCTTCCAAGTAACTCAATTACTTCATGGGCTTAATTACAACAAAAGTTCCTGAACAAATACTTTCCTGTGGGGAGAACCAACCAATTAAGGAAAGAAATCATGTCGTTCTCCTAAATCCCAGGGGAACAAATGCATGAAATATGGGAAAGATTCAATGATCTTATTCGAAAGTGTCCACACCATTACATCCTATGATGGAAATTGGTGCAAGTGTTCTATGATGGTTTAACTGAGCCTCATGGACAAATGGTTAATTCCTCTTGTAGTGGCACATTCTTGCTTAAGAGTGAGGATGAAACATGGAAACTATTTGAAAACTTGAGTGAAAATTCCATTTAACATGCGTCTACTTCTCATTCTAGGACATTTACCCCTAGTGCTCATCGAGTTGAGAAGTCTCAAGAATTATCCATCCAAGTGGAAGCACTTATGCGAAGGCTTGACCATGTCTTAGTTGCCGGGTGTGTTCTTATTCCTTCGCCTCATTCGTCCATACCACATCAGGTGTGTGCAATTTGCTCTAGTTCTTCTCATATTATCAGAGATTATCCTATAATGGGACAATCTTCTGAAATATCTTAAGAGCAAGCAACTACCACATTCTCCGGACCAGATAATAATCTATACTCCAACACTTATAACCCAGGATGGAGAAATCATCCAAATTTTCGTGGCGCAATAAAGGCGCGAAAAATCCAGTCCCTCAATCTCAAGGACAATTTCAGAATCAGTCTAACTTTTTTTCCCCAAAATAATTATTTCAATCCATCATCTAACTACCGTCCTCCTCAATTTCAAAATCGATCTAATCCTCATCTTCCTCCTAGAAATTCTGCATTCGAGGATAAAGTGTTGGCTGTTTTAGGTGATCTTCAAGCAAACACCCAGTTGTTTCATTATCATTCACAATCTATAGCCACGTTAGAAGCTCAAGTTGGGCAACTAGTAAATGCATTAAATTGTAGAGAGGAAGGGAAAATACATAGTCAGCCCGTGGCTAACCCAAAACGGCACACTTACATGATTGATGAAACTTATTCTTCAAGTACTCATCATGAGCAAGTGCAAGCCATAACTACTCTTAGGAGCGGGAGAGTGATTGACAATAAGGTTGAGGAAAAGAAAGAAGGAGAGGGTGAAATTCATAAGACTCCAAATGTGTCAATTCCAAATCTAAATAAGTCTTCTTCTTCAAATTCAAATCTATCCATTCCAATCCTTGAGACCCTATGAACCAACAACTCTATTTCCTCAACGTCTTAAGGAACATTTCTACTTTGGGAAACAATGAGAGAAAATTCAAGACATGATAGAGGTATTTAAGCAAGTAAAAATCAATCTACCTCTTCTTGACGCAATTAAGCAAATCCCCTCTTATGTAAAATTTCTAAAGGATTTGTGCACCAAAAAGCATAAATCTAAAAGTCAAATCCCTAAGAAAATCTGTCTTACCAAGCAAATGAGCGCCATAATTCAACATAGATTTCCTTCGAAGTTCAAGCATCCCGGAGCCCCTACAATTTCTTGTGTCATTGGAAATAATGAGATAGAGAGAGCCCTCATTGGCCTAGGAGCTAGTGTTAATCTCCTTCCTTACTTGGTATATATGTAATTGGGCTTGGGAGAACTTAAACCTACGACGGCTGTCTTGCAACTTGCTGATAGATTCATCAAGCAACCTTGTGGGGTCATTGAAGATGTGCTCATTAAAGTGGACAAGTTTTACTTTTCGATAGATTTACTAGTTCTTGATACATAACTTGTCCACAATCCCAATATGCACATACCTGTGTTGCTAGGTCGTCCTTTCTTAGCCACAACTAATGCTTGCATTAACTATAGGACCGTGGCTATAGATATTTCTTTTGGGAATATGAAGGTAAAACTGAACATCTTCAATACCATTCCACATTCCCCCAATGAAAATGAGTGTTTCCTCAATTGGTTGAGGATTCACTCCTAATTTTTCTACCAAAAGAGCCTCTTCCTTTGGTCTCTGGTACTCCTCCTATTTCTTCCCTTGAGATTCCTCACAAACTTGAGTTTAAGCCACCGCCAGATAAGCTTAAGTATGCTTTCTTGGGACCCAATAGAACTCTTTCGGTTCTCATTGCTTCAAATTTAGCAAATGCCCAAAAGAGTAGTCTCTTGAGTGTGCTTCAAAAGCACACAAAGGCCATTGTGATGAAGAAGATAGTTGAGTTGTTAGATGTAGGTTACAGTGTGGCATCACTACTTATTGGATCATGTAACAAGGGTTATTTGTTCCACATCAGTTCTAGATAGGAAAATGATTGGGTATAAATGGGTGGGTATGTAACACTACCCAACAACTTGAGCTTTTGGGTAAATGGGTAAATACCCACCTGTTATAGTTAGTATCAGAGTTAGACCCAGTCCTTAATCAGGTGCCATGCTAAGTGTCCAGCCCGGAAGACGTCTGGGTGAGTTAGCCCGAATAGGCAGGATGACCCGAGCTGCAACGAGGGTGTTGCGAGTTTGGATGTGGGAAAATGTAACAAGGGTGATTTGTCCCACATCAGATTCGGATGAGAAAGTGATTAGGTGTAAATGAGTGGGTATACATTACTACTTAACAACTTAAACTTTTAGGTAAATAGACAAGTGCCCACCCATTACAGACCACTACTTGAAGCTGTTTACCACTGTCCAATCATATCTCTCCAAATACTGATAACCCGTTGCAACCTCCCTTTTCAACCCAGCTTCTACTAAATGCTTAGCTTCCCAAAAACCTCTCCACGCCCAAGAGGGATTTTCTACCCAAACCGGCATGCAAGAAAGAAGTACGAGGGAAGTACTTTCTTTTAAATAACTGATAAAATAAACAGTTTGGCTCCATAAGAAATCTCCAACATTGTTTAGCTAACATGGCCTTATTATTAGCTTGTTTTGGATAAAAAAACCTCCATCCGGATATGACTCCAGCCATACGCTTCGACTGGTGAGTTTTACAAACTAAACAAAAGGTTCCATTCGGATATAACTCATCCATATGCCTCAACTGGTGAATTTTACAAACTAAACAGTAATTAATTGGATTAAATGCCATTTTTTTTAAGTTAAAAAAAAATGTCAGTTAATAAATATGCCTGTTTTAATAAATAGATACCAAGTAGAATATTGAAGATTATTTACTATTTCTAAACACACTATCTCCCTTCGATTTTAAATTTCTAAAAATAGCTGGCATCACTGATTGTGATTTTATTTTTTATTTTAATTCCAAAAAATCAAAATCATGCTTTTGCTTTCAAGTAATAGCGGAAACACAAAAATCACTTCCTCTCAAGATATTAGTAGCCAACTAGTCACTATATACCTCGGAAATTTTTTAAGTTATGACACGTTTATCCTTTTCCTCAAGGATAAGACATAAGTAGCCTTTTGAGATTCAAAAAATAACAATAATACCCAGATTTCATTGGCGGATTTGCCTCCTTTCCCATGTCTATACATTAGCTCGATCCTAAAAAAACCACATTATATGTATGTGTGTGTGTGTATATTACAGGCAGAGGCAGCAATGAATTTTAGGTAACAAAATCATCTCCAGTGCAATAGTGGTCCTGTTCCGTCCGGTACGCTAAAAAATGTTGTGGTGTTCAGGAGAGGTTATTTTATCAGAGTTTAGAGAAACAGAGATGATAAACATCACGCAAGCCGAGGCTAGAAGCCAAGGCTCAACCAACCAACCCAATGAAGGATATTTTTTGTTTTATAAGGTTTTAATGTCTTGTTTGCAGCGAATCGGGGTTTGATCACTTGTAGGTACATACATATATAAATGGGTGTGTTTGTGTTTGTGCGCGCGTGTGTGTGTGTGTGTGAGAGAGAGAGAGAGAGAGAGATGTACATAAATTTGTTTGAAAAAGCACTGAATTATGCCTGAGATCATTTATCAATCCTAAGGTTATTACAAAGATAGCCAAGTTCAGGTCTTGCATCCATCCAGGAGGTAAACTGCATCTGGGTTGCGGAAGTACAGTACAGATAGGATCTAAACGTGATAAGGAAAAAGTACCGCCTGCAAATGGACAAAAGAAACTTGTTACCTTCAACAAATACCAGCTTTCCCCACCTCCAGCAACAGAAATATATGCTTGCTATGCATGTATCTTCTATTATTCTCATTCGACCCTAAGATGGTGGTTCTTGGGCTCTATATTAAAATAATAGTAAATAAAAAAATGGCAAATCAGTGATGTGTAAGCAAACAAAGAAACTAATACACTAGTTGAACTAAAATGGAGCAGCTACGGGTATTTAGTATGCTGTTCCATTAAATTTTGCAATTCAACATTGATACATTGAAAAATTAATATACATCAGGCCATATGCTACATCGCATACAATAACCTTTTTTTTTTCTTCCTAAGTTTCGCATACAGTAATCTATTCTACGCTCATGCGTGTATGTACTTGTGTGTCTGTACTCATGTGAGTTCTATAATAAGTGGCATGAAACTAAGGGATGCAGAAATAAAGAGAAGATAAGATGCATGCTATCTACAGATTAGATTATCGAGACCACGAACTGAAGTGGAAAGCATGTTCCATTCAGTCCATTGTAAACATGAAATTTGTAGAGATGGCTAATTTTTCATCTGCTGGAAACGAGATGCTGTTATCCATCCATCAAGATTTTTTGGTTTTTCATCAGTAGGTTGTTCTCCTCTGAGATTATTAAATATGAGATATTCAATGCTCATGGGTTATAATTTATGAATAATGTCAAATCATTCTATATAAGTATAAAGGATCCAGGTTAGAATCCAAGGACTGGCAATACTAATTAATTATAATAAAATTAAAATTAAAATTAAAATCAGAATTTTCTGTCAATTATGAAATCAACCCCATTAATCAAAACGGCAAAAAGAAAACAACAATATAGCTAGCAATTGTTGTAAGAATCAATTACTTCATTTATTTGGGAACTCGAACTAACCTTAAAGCCTTAATACCCATATCCATGAGGGACGCTCGATGCTCATCATCACCGTTTGGAAGCTTCTCAAGTTCTTTACTATAATAAAGTATATCATCTCGCAAATGCCCCGCACCTGCGCACCTTTATTACAAAGGAACATGCTCAACACCGACCCAAAGGGGGAAGAGGAGTCGAGAAAAACAGTGTTCAAAAATGAGAACTAGGTTTGTTTTATAAGGATTAAGTACGCAAGTATCATAACCAAACAACAAAAGCATAACATTATAGTGAATATTCGGAGTCCGAAAATTTAGTGTCTGCTGAACACTAAAAGTTCATTGTTCTCCGCACCATGCAACATGCACCATTGAATACCTACCTACCAAATACGAAATAACATGTCGAACTTTTCTGTATGACAATACGACAATAAACAACTGAAAAACAAAACAAGGAAAATATGATTTGCGAAGACATGCTCATCTTTAACATCAAATGACACTAGTTGAAGAGATCCTCACTTCTAGTTTCTATTTACTCCTATTCAACTTAGATCCCCCCTCTTCCTACTCTTTTGTAGGTAATTTAGATACTTATTTATCTTGGTCCTTTTTTAGGTTTCCTTAAGGATGACTATAATAACATTTTTATTACTATACTATTTCATCTTCTCCCCATATTTTGTGACAGTTGAAAGGCAGAAAAACGAGGCTGATAAAGTTTAGAGAGGCTCATATGTTTGTGACAGTTGTGTTGCAGCAACAAGAGGGGAAGCATATCTGATGGTAACAGAGAGGATGGTAAACAGGTCTTTAAGTCATACATTTACACACATCTAATCAACCAACCACGTAAACATCCATAACCAATTATTTAACATCACAAATGAAAAGTAAAAGCAGAAATGCAAACCAGATTTTTTCATGTAGCTATATGAATCTCGTTTTGCCATGCTACTCTATTTAGTGCCAAAACCCCAGTTAAAACATGTGATCATAGCTTTCCTCACTAAGTCAACTGATTTTAATTTCAGTCTTCCTTTAATCCAAACTGTACCCATAATATGGGTACATCATTCTTCCTTATTGGTCCAGTTATTGGTCTTAATTGCACATGACCAACCCATCATAATATCATTTTTCTCTTATTTTTTCTCCCAATTGGTGCCCACTTTAACTGTCTTATGGACCTGTTTATTTCCAATTTCATCCTTTCTTGACTTACCACACATTCAACTCAACTTCGCATTTCAGCCATGCCTATTTATTAATATGTTGTTTTCTAACTATTGAACATTATGCTTCATAAAGTATGGCAGGTTTTATAGCTATTTTCTAAAATTTGACTTTTATAGGTATACTTCGATCATACAATATACTAAAAGCATTCTCCCATTCACTCATCCGGATTTGTTTCTATGGTTAACGTCATCTTAAATTTCTCCCTCTTTGTGAATAATAAAACCTAGGAAGCAAAAAGATGTGAACACTTTTCGAAGTATAATGACCTTTAATAGTCAATAAATCTCCACTTGTATTTCTAATTTTGGTAAATTACATTTCATATATTTAGTTTTAGTGCTGCATATCATAAACCCTTTTGCTTCTAAAGTCTCTCTAAGCAATTAATTTAGCATTTAGCCCTGCTATAGTTTCACCAATAAAATTATAATTTTCAAATAACAATACACCATGGAAATGTGTCCAGTTAATTCACCCTTAATTGAAGTAACATGTTATAGAATTAACGCTGATCGTTAGTGTAAGCCTAGAGTATTGAAAATACACATGCTTCTCCTATGTAAATTGTAAACAATATTTTCTCCAAATACACGTTTTACAAACAATATCCTATCTCCTTTTCTAATAACAGTTAGAACCTTGCTTAAAGTATTATTAGAAATTATCCCTTCTCTATTTTTATGTCAGTATTTTATATCATGTATTTTCAATTTCCCTAAGGGCCAACCCCATTTATATAAGATAAAGTAAAGAATGATGACAATGATGATTTTTAAATCTCTAACTTCCTCTCCAATCCACGTACTTTCATGTAGGCATGCTATATTTACCCTTGTTCTAAGTATAGTACTAACAAGTGCATTACTTTACCAATTAATGTTCCTATATTCCAAGATCGTAATCTATAGCTATTATCTTGGACTAATTTCTTTACCTGTGTTTGTTCAGAAAACGCGAGACCTTTGCCTATTTCTTGCCATACTCAGGTGCCAATCCTTGCCCATTTGTTGAAGCATTTAAAGCTGATGCAACACGTCGCTAAAGGGGAACATCTTAACATTAATTCGAATATCCTCCTGATCATGTTCATTAAAGATCTGCTAGAGTACACTGATTGTCAACTACTCTAATGCAACCCTCCTTTTTTCCAGAGGCAAAAATATGACATTAAGTATGACGCAGACGATGTTACATGAAGGTCCCAAATCGAAAAACCACGGGACCTCTTCCAACGCTTAACAATCAACTATGAAGAAGAACAACTACAACAAAAGATTTCAATGATATTTTAATCCTTATCAAAACTGTGTAAAATTTATAAACTCTATAGATTACTTTTATAAGAAAAAAAAAAAGAGTTTATAAAGATATCAAAGGTTCTTTTTGGAAAGACTTTAATTATTTATATATGCATGCTTTGGAAACCTACTTGGGCTATGTTTGGTACAATGGAATGGACTGCTCATTTCAGCCTATGTTACCTGGACTCTCCGAATTCCCTCAACATACCTGTGTTGACACAACACGACATGGACATGAATATGAAATACGTGACCGACAAATGTACCCAAATCTGACATCCAGATCCTCTAATTACGATGACAGAAGAAGAAAAGTTACTCAAATTTGAGAGCAAAGAAGGGTTCCCTACATATGTGATAGGTGGAATCTCTCTTACTTTTAACCATATTCCATTCGGTTTCATTTAATTTAAGTTGCTATTACCAACAGGCCAGTGGCCTAGCGGTACCAAACCCCTACTTCCCAAATGGAGGTCAGGGGTTCAAGCCTCTGTGGAGGCATGTGTGTGTGAGTTCCAAGAAAAAAAAAAAAAAATGTAAGTTGCTTTTAAGTCCTTTTAAAAAACAATAATGGTATGATACATTACACTTTCAAGTATGCAAAATGTGTCCACATACATGTGTCAAAGTTTTGCACATATTTCAAGTCAAGTCACCGTATCCAATAATCTGCGGACACATACCTCAACCTGCAGCTGGTAACATAGATTCCAACTTTCCATTTTGTTTCCACTGTTTGGTATGTAATTACTAACTGTGGAAAGTAAGAATGACTACTATGGAATTTTTTATTCCCACAAAATGTTAAGAATGGTCACTCCTCTTCAAGTGTTAAGGATTGACCATTACATTCCAACATAAAATCAAAAGAAGATACATTAAGATGACGTATGTCGCAACAAAGTCTATGGAATTTTTTTAGTTCCACAAATCTTAGAACTGTCACACTCTTCAAGAGACAGGGATTCACCATTCCATCATGAAATCAAAAAGAAGTGAAAAAAAGAAAATACTATATTTATTATATCATATGTGGTAATAAATTATATAATACAAATATACATTATGTATCACATTATCTTATATATATAAAGTAGTACACGATCATATATTATCTTATAATATATATTATATGTAATAAAAATATATAATAACAAATATCTTTTGTATAATATATACTTTTATTGCATTAATCGAACTTTGTCTTTTCAAATGGGGAAAGTACTCTAGGATTGCCAGAAAAGGAAATAGAGGGAGTGTATTATATAATAAATATAAAAATAAAAATTATATACAATAAATTTATACATTAAAACACTTTAGTGACTTCAAAGGTACCTAGATTAAGGTATATTCATTCAAAGATTCAATTTTTAGACATTAAAACACTCTTTGTAACTTCAAAGGGAACTCGACAAGTTTAACTCAAAACTCTCATTTTCATTCAAAGATTCAATCTTTATACATTAAAACACTAGTGACTTCAAAGGTATCTTGATTAAGGTATTTTCATTCAAAGATTCAATCTTTACACATTAAAACACTATTTGCGACTTCAAAGGGATCTCGATTAAGTTTACTCAAAACTCTCATATTCATTCAAAGATTCAATTTTTATACATAGAAACACTCTAGTGACTTCAAAGGTACCTTGATTAAGGTATTTTCATTCAAAGATTCAATCCTTAGACATTAAAACACTCTTGTGACTTCAAAAGGAACTCAATTCAGTTTAACTCAAAACTCTTTTTTTCATTCAATATTGATAAATTATGGATATTTAATATATTGTATAATAAATTATTTATTATTATAAGAAATATATATTTTATGCTAATTTATGTCGTAGGATATATAAATACTCCCTCTGTCCCATTATAGATGTCCATATTCAAAATTCACACATTTTAAGACACTAGCTTTTATTACATTGGTTTCCAAATTTATCTCTTTTAAATGTTATTCTTTGATGGGGTCCACCATTTTGACACTTTAATGTGTTTTATCTTTTAGGGGTAAATTGGGAATGTTAATAAATAAAAATAGTGCATTGATTTTTGAAATGGGACAACCAAAAATAGAAAAATGAACTACTAATATGGGACGGAGGGAGTATAATATATGCTATTTATGATTTTAATATTATTTAAAATATACAAAATATATAAATTAAAAATTATTAATAAAATATTATGTAACATTGTTATCATGATACAATCATAAATTTATCAACCATAAATAAGAAAACTTAAACGATAAAATATATAAATTATAATTTAGAATACATATTTAATATATAATATATAATTTATCATAATTTATTTATTATATGGTAAATTCATATAATATATGTTATATAAGATTTTCTATAACATATATTATATATTACCTAATATATAAAAAATAATAAACAATGAATAAAATAGATAATAGTTTTTAAATTATATAAAGTTTATAAAATGTATTACTCCCTCCATCCCAAAATAGTTGGGTACTTTGGGAGTTGTGACTCACAACACAGTTCCCAAAGTACCCAAATATTTGGGGACGGAGGGAGTATATCATTATGTTAATTATTTCTTTAATAACATAATGTTTT